CCCCTCCTCCCCCACCCCCCCCCCGCCCAGTTCTTTTCCCCACCGGCCGGTCCCCCCAGCCCCTGATCTCCCCTGGCCAGCCCACTCCACCCGATCCCCTCCCGGCCAACCCCTACTCCCCTCCCAGCCGCCCCTCCCCCTCCTTCCCCCGCTCACGCCCATCTGAGATCAAGTGTATCCGGTATTTTTTTTTAAACCATCTGGTAACCCTATCTGTGAGAGCTTTTCTTTTCACTACAGTATATTTGAAAAAATAAGAACTGTTGAGTTGGAGAAACATTATGAAGCATAAACATTCATTTGTTTTCAGAATTAGAGCATAAAATAGTAAGGTATTAAGAGTAAACACATTTTGAACAACTAAAAAAAACCTAGCTTACTGGTACTGGAAGCATCTCATCTTTCCTCTCATGACTAACCTAACCATACTATGGGTCACCTTTTCCCTTGCTTCCTCCCAGGTGGCTAACTCACACTGGGAGAGCATGGGAGACATGGCATGGCACCAGAGGGAGATCACAAATGTGGGAATTAGGAGGATAGGCAACAGTAACTTTATCATAAGGAAAATGGTGCCTGTTTTTGGAGAAATCACCATACTTCCTCTCCTTTCTCCTCTCTAAAAAGTCCTGAACCTGTATTTCAGAGGGAATTTTTGTGGGACAAGCAGGCTCACACTGTTTTTACATATGTGGGTGGGGAAGACACAGATCCAGTCTTATCATGTAACTCTTGTCTCCCTCCCTGTTTATGCTATCAACTCCTTTATCAATTCATTGAGGCCTAACCTCCCAACATAAGCTGCCTTAACCCTCTTGGATGCAGTTCTTATTAAATACAGTAAAAAAAAAAGTTAATTCTTTACTTCCAGGATCTATAACTTGTCTTCTGTCTCAGAAAGAAAAAAAATGGCATTTTTAAAGAAATGTGTTATTTTGCCTTCAGAACGATGTGCAACATCAATTCTCAGCTATTGATGTAAATATTTTATAATTTAAGAGGAACAGAACAAATATATTGGTTTTGGGAGAAAACTGATCCATTTACATTAGTAAGAATGCATTTATAAAGGAACCAATATCATTAATTAGTCTGTATCTGCTTATCTTTTTTATTATACATACATTGCTGTGGGTTTAGTGCTTTAAAGCATCTGCTCAATAGTCCGTTATGATAGCACAAGAATGCTTTTTCGTGAGAGTAATGAAGTAACAGATGCTTCCTGATGACAACTTCTCAATTTGTTTAGGAAACAGTCAGTCAGTCCTGGATTCAGTTTTCCCTTGTAGTGTAGCAGCCATGCAAGCAAATTCTTATGGAGAAACAAGACCTGAGAAATCAAGTGACTGTGTAATTTTTCTAGGAATGACAATCTAGCCAAAAATCTCTGTTTAATAACACTTAAATAAAATTAGCATTTTATCCACTGTGCAAATAGATCTTTTTCTTGTAATGAGTATTTAAACAAAATCCATCAATTCAATAACAGAGTTTACTCTCCCTCTTTATATTTATACTTCCAAGAATATTTTTGGAGCAATGGTATGACCTATCAATGCTGAAGAGTAAATTATTTATGTTGCATTGTAGCTGTCATAATACCATAGTACATAAAGTATTGTTAACAGCTCAAAGGGTTCAGGACCACAATGTATATAGAGAGGAAAGGAACCAATTAAAAGTAAAAATTATAAAAACCCTAAAGGCATTACATGTCAAGTGAAAATAACTTGAGTTTTATTTTTATATATTAGTTAAACCTTCTATTGTTTATGATTCTGCTAGTGATTATGCAAAAAACCTGATGGCCATTGTTTAAAAATACCTCAGACTTACCTTCTGTTGGACCAACGTAATATTGTGTTAGTCTTTGAGAGTTCTATTCAGTCATGGACAACCAGCTCATTTTATTCTAGAACAGTACTTTAGCAAAGGCTCAACTCACCTGCTAAAGAGACACTGTCAGTACTTGTAGGCTACAGAATTTACTTTCCCATGTTAAATTCCATGAATCACCCTTATAGAGACTGTAAAGTACAGGATTACACATCAGAATTGTATCTTTTTATGTGACATGTCCTGCCACTGCTGTTTACCAAAATGAAAAGGGATTAGAAGTACCTGTAAGAAGGATTCAGGTGTCCATGAATGTATACTGTACAGACAAGAACAGTGCTTCTACTTGTCACTATATATATGGCATACAAAAAGAGCTGAATATCAAAAACTATATTTTTAATTATAGAAGCTTTGTTTACTAGACCAAATTCCATCTTGTTAGCAGGGCAGAGAAGGGAGGTTTTTTTTGTCTTTCATAAGCTTTTGAATGCCCTGTTTCAGACAGAACCCAAAGTACCATTTAAAAGCAAAAAGACAGAGTAATACACAATGATAAAGTTCATGAGTGGAAATACTTAACCTCCAGCTCCCTAAAACACCAGGACAAGGCTGCTTGTACAACCTGCTCTTTCTTGTTCCTAACTGTATCCAGAGCTGTACTGAGTCTGGGGATGCTACTGATGGATGAAATAGCTCTGTCTCTTAAGAAGCAGGATCTTTATAGAGGTAGCTCATAATCTAACTTCCCTCCAGTAGTACCAGGGGTTCTCAAGGGAGATTTTTTTGTAGTCTGTCTCCTCCCTCTTGAGGAATTGGGTTATCAGGAAGAGCTTCTCACTTCTTCACTTTTCTATACCCTAATCCAGTTCATCACCAGAAAATTATGGTTTCTCTTCAGAAGTTGCTCAAACCCTGAACTCTCTGCAATCCCCAGAAGCAGAATTTTTAATGACAGACTGTTCATTTCTTAAATCACAACTTCCAAGTTAGCACTATGTTTATGAGCCCTGTTTTGCAGAACTCAGATTGTGGAACATAGCTTTTTTGTAAATATATTACTTATTTCTCCATGTGCTTTTGGGTGAAAGAGAGCGTGACTTTTTAAAATCTAGTTTAAAAAATTGTTCTAAATTAAAAATCACTATGAGGTTAAATGACTAAAATGGTGTGAATTATTTTTCACTCACACGAGATTGTGCATGCATGTACAGGGCTATAGAATAATGATATTTAAAAACTTATGTCAGCATTGGAACTCTCATTGGTATTATACTGCACTGCCAATAAAAAGTGACTCAGCAAGTACTTCATACTTACACAATGTTGTTTCAGAGCAAGGTTATCTAATGGCCAAATAGTACTTAAACTAATATAAAAATGCACCAAACATGAATGTTTTCACAAAGAATCATTTAAAGTTTTGCTTTAAGAAGAGATTTTCTTAAGACATGCAATTTGAGGCTGGGTTCAGATCTGAATCCAAAGGGCCTCTAAGTTTAAGGGGATTTGGGCTGATTGTTCTTCATTTCCTCCCCCCCCCCCCCCAATTATTCTCGGCATCAAAAGCACTATCCCAGAAAATATATCTAGTTTAAAGAACTATCAGTTTACTAGGCAAAAGTAATGCCAACCTTTCTTCCACAAAAGATCTTTTACATAGTAATAGCTCCCAATATCGTATCTGATCTGGGATTGCTGTAAAGGGAAGGGGGAAAGTGTGTCTTTATTATATGTGACCTGGATAAGCATACAGATCTGTACCTGGTATGATTTTTAAGTATCTTAATTCAAATTTTAAAATTATGTTTATTTCCAACTCTACTGGTATGTGGCTATCCAAAATCTGGGACTTCTAGTCACCATCTTGTACACTTGTTCATCAGCAACACCTGATTGTCTAAAATACTATTTGGATGAAATCAACTTACACAAGCTTTCCAAAAAAAGAGTATGCTCTCTATGGTTATTCTCATGGTTGGTACTTATGGTTATTCTTATGGTTTGCCAGTTCTTGCATCTCCCTCATGAATTGATTCATGGCAGAGAAAGCATGAAGGTGAGTTAAGGATCTAAGAAAAATACAAAATAGCTCTAACTCCTATACTTTGTAACAACTTGAGGATTAAAAATGTTGGTTTCAGTCTTTAGCAATTTGCTTGGGCAAAGACCTAAATATTCACATTGGTTGGTACCAGTATACCCACAAAATCCATATTTGTGCATGTACACCTACCTTTTGGGGACATATAGTTATTCAGTTTGTATATGCAAATTAAGAGTTTTGAAGGCTCAACAAGTGTCCATATATTTTGTGGACATATTCAGTTATGTTTTCGTGGAAAATTTGTTTCAGTATATCTAATTAGCTTATTTAAAATGGTTAAAAAGTTAATGGTCTAATTTTCAGAGGCATAAACTTCCTCAATTGGTTGTAAAGTCAGGCAGAACTATGCATGCTCAGGACCTTTTAAAAACTGTCTTATGTTCATACATTGGTTAAAACAAGGTAAAAAAAATAAATTGGTAATTGGGAGATTCTGGGAATGTATCAGAATGCCTCTACTAAAAAAACCAGAAGAGGTAGAGTCTAATCTATAGTTGAAGTTGAATTTAGCAGCATATAGTAAGAGGGGGGGAAATTGTCTCAACTTCAGAAGTGTTATTAACCAACACAATCTCTTGCAAAAAAGTTCTTATTAAATATAACTTGGAATTTTCTTCATAAAATATATAATCCTTTGGAAAGTAAAAACTTAAACAGCCATATTGGGTCAGACCAAAAATCCACCCATCCTAGTATCCTGTCTTCAGACAGTGGTCAATGCCAGGTGCATTCAGAGGGAGTGAACAGAACAGTAATCATCAAGTAATCCACCCCCCATTTCTCATTCCTTGCTTCTGGCAAAGCAGAGGCTAGGGACTTTATTCCTACGCATCTTGGCTAATGGCCATTGATGGACCTATCTTCCATTAATTTATCTAGTTAGTTCCTTTTTGAACCCTGTTACAGTCTTAGGGTGTGTCTACAGTGCAGGGCTTAACTTGAAATAAGCTAAGCAAATTGAGCTACTTCAATTGCATATCTTATTTCAAAATAGCTTATTTCAAAATAGGGAGTGTCTACACACCACTTATTTAGAAATAGAGCACTCTTCCTCTGACTTCCCCTATTCCTCGTACAACGAGGGTTACGGGAGTCGGAGTAAGAAATCCTCCAGCTTGACAGCATTTTGACACTACTTGGAAATAACTGCCTGCTATGTAGACCTGGACCAAGTTATTTCGGAATAGGGCTAGTTATTTTGAAATAATGTTGCAATATAGACGTACCCCTAGGCTATGTCTGCATTGGCAAGATTTTGTGCAAAAGCAGCTGCTTTTGCGCAAAATCTTGCCACCTGTCTACACTGGCCGCGAGTACTTGCGCAAGAACACTGACGTTCTAATGTATAAAATCAGTGCTTCTTGCGCAAATACTCTGATGCTCCCGCTCAGGGATAAGCCTTTTTGCGCAACTGTTCTTGCGCAAGAGGCCAGTGTAGACAGGCAACATCAATTTCTTGCGCAAGAAAGCCCGATGTTTAAAATGGCCATCGGAGCTTTCTTGCGCAAGAGAGCATCTACACTGGCATGGATGCTCTTGTGCAAAAGCACATCTTTTGCCCAAAGGCACATGCCAGTGTAGACGTTCTCTTACTCAAATACTCTAACACAAAAACTCTTGCGTTTTTCGCCTTCATCTGTAGCATGGTACAGATCACAGCTGGAGTATTCTCTGCATCATGGGGTCTTCAAAGTATTTGAAGGCTTCAATATCTGAGATATAGGTGAGAGGATTATTCTAGGAGGGGTGGGTGAGATTCTGTGTCCTGTACTGTGCAGGGGGTCAGACTAGATGATCATAATGGTCCCTTCTGACCTTAAAGTCTATGAGTCTATTTGCTCAAAATCTTGCCAATGTAGACGTAGCCCTAGACTTCACAATATCCTTAGGCAAAGAATTCCACAGGTTGACTGTGCATTGTGTGTAGAAATACTTCTTTTTGTTAAACCTGCAGATTCTTTGGGGATCTGTTATAACTTCACCTTCAGTTGGTAGGATATTCTTCAACAGTAGCAGGTTACGAAGGGAGTAGCTGCTGTAGCTAACATATTGCTAAAAAGTATTATGATAAACATTTTCCAGAGTTGCTTGTTCGTATGATTCTTTGTCTCTCAAAAGCAATCTGGATTGATTAAGGTCACAGTCTTGCAAAGGTTTACAGATGAATTTAACTATGTCTGTGCTCCTCACAGTAAGTGAATTGAAGCATGTAGGTAAATCTTTACAAAATTGCGCATTAGTATTTTTCTTTCTAGTCTTACTATTATTTTCTTAGTAGTCAATTGATGAGTGTTCCGTAAGATCTTATATTTATTAAATTAATGACTATAATGGTAACACATATTTTCTCCTCACTGAAAGCCCACATTTTATTAAAGTACTGTGTTAATGTTTGTTGTTTTAGGAAGCCCTGGATGATTCTCAAGTAGCTGGAGTCTCTGCAACATCAGAAGTGATTCGCTATGAGTATCATGTCTTGTATTCTAGTAGCTACCAAGTACCTGTGCTTTATTTTAGGGCATGCTTTTTAGGTAAGACTTGTTATACATTAAACTCATTGTAAAATCAAAAATATGCAGGAATGAAGTAGAATCTTTGAAACACAGCTTTTTGTACTCCACTTCAGTACAATGATCATGTTTAATATTAAAAAATATGAGATGGGGGTGTTAACTAGTAAATTTTCTGATACTCCAGACACTGTGAGCCTCAGGACCTTGGAGTAGATGATATCATCTCAGCCTGAAGAAGTCTGAACTTTAGACTCCTGGCATCATGCCCATGGTTGACGAAACCTGCTGGCCATTTTTCTTTTTGATTTCTTTAAATGAACACACAGACTTAAAGCTACAGCATCAAATTCAGCCATGCATACTGCAGTAACTTTAGCTGAGTTGCACCTGTTTATTTCAGAGCTGAATTTGATCCACAATGATTAGGTCAAAATTTTCCTGTATGTTGTCTTTCTAATTTAAACAGCTTTTAAAAAATACCAAATATTGAACGTAAAATCAACTTGTACTAAAAGAAACAGTTTTAAAACATTGCTGAAAATGACTGAAATCAATAAAATAGTTTATTTTCTCCCTAATGTATACATCTTGTCACCCTTTGCCCAGTTGCTACTACCCTGTGATTTCACTCTCATTCCCGTCATGAAAGTGGAACACACTGCCGCTCTTCAAGGCCACTATTAGTCACACTTATTTAATCAGCAAGCATAGAGTGATCATACTGCAGCACTGTCTATGCTCCTCTCCTCTTCCCAAAGACAATGCACTTGGAATTGAGGAGTTGAAATCTTAAGGTAATTTTTGAACTTGGTTTCCCACATGGCAGCATGAGTAGATTATGTGTTTTGAATGATCCCTGAATTTTATCTTGAAGGTACCTGAATATTGCCAATGATATTTTTCGTTTTAATTAAAAAGTTGCTTAAGCTGCTTTTAATGTGTTTGTTAGAATTAATCACTTTATATTTTTAATCACTTCTAATTTTGCAGTGTTAGTGTTTTAACAAGCACATTAGATTTAAAATTGAAAATCAAATTCTCAGACTCACTGGGGAAAAGATTTTTAGTTTGAGGTGCAGTTTCTAAGAACTAATAATTTGGGGTAAATGCTCAACTTGTGAAGTGGGGATACAGTTCAGTTTCTGTAACCACCACCACCAGATCACAAATTCTCACACATTTTATGTTGCAAATTCATTATGAGGATTGTAACAAACATTTTACAAATGTTCAGTAATCTGTCATTAAACTTCTTGTGCAAGCACCAAGATAAAGGAACTCTTGCTAGTCAGTAACTTTTGCTGTCTTGAAATAACATACCAAGAGGCTGATTAATTTATTTGTGGTGCTGAAAAATGTCATCTTCTTGGTTTTAGTTAATTAACAGTATATCTTTTCTATGCAAGAGAATGGTGATGCTGCAGGTAGACTAAATAGTATTTCTATAATACTGTACTTTCATATAATTAGTATTCAATATAAGCAGTTAATCACCAGAGAAGAGCTCCCAGAGACAAAACAAGTTGTTTAGCTTGTCAGCATCAGGGAATCGGAGGTGTTGAAACATGACTCCTTATAGCTGGAAGTGGATATTACAGAAGCTGGTGGATGAGCTAATGCACAATCTTAGTACAATGTGCCAACAGCTCCCCTTGCAGTACAGAACTGTAATTGTTCCTACAAGTATAATTATGTTTTTAACACACTTCTTGGGAATCTTTCACAGTGGAAAATTATGGGTTTTTTGAGAATGTCGGTGTCATTTGGAGTCTCTTTATATCCTTATTAACATTTTTCATTTGATATCTGGTGTGAGAGGAGGATACAGATACTAGCATCCACCTCTTTTTTTCCAGGAGCATATTCAATTAGTACTAAATCTGTTATTTTCATTCTGTATAGCACAGTTGTCTAGATATTGGAAATCCTTCCTTTGATACAAATTATCTACTTTCTACCTGCGTAGTGCTATCCAAAATCCCAAACATGGTGTTTTTCAGAATCTGTAGATCACTATGTATGTCAGACATCTGAGTAAGCGTTCTGTTTTGCTTTGCCTTGCGCTCACCTGAAAACAAGCCCAGGAAATGTTCTGATATTTTTGCCTTTTCATCACAATGTTACTATTCTTTCCTCAGTAACCCTTTGCCCCTTTTTCTTCTGACAGTCACTATTGTTCAGTTCTTCCATTTGCTGAGTAGGTGGGAGAACACCCCACACTGAGACATACATCAGCGGCACTGTGTAAATTGTTGTTATTGCATATAGATTAGGTGGTGGGTGGAGTTCTCTCTCTCTCTCTCTCTCTCTCTCTCTCTCTCTCTGTCTCTGTGTTGGAAATATTTAGGAAATTCCTTGTGTTAGAATCATTGTTAGAAAATTATTCTCTCTCCTCTGTGGTTCCCCAGGATCTTTCATTTCTCCCTTTTTTGATATAGTACATTTCACATATCCTGCATTGCTAGGATTCTCTGGAGTAGTTGGGCTGTGCATGGTTTCCATTCAAGCCTGTTTGTATCTCCCTTTACATTGATGAGGGTGGGTTGCAAGAGATAGATGTGAGATGTAACCCACGGACTTTGATCATTATGCTCACACAGCAAAGGATAAACTGGAATCCTAAACTCAGATTCCACACTGCAATGTTTTAAGATATGATTAGATCTGTAGGCCAGCCTAGGAAATTTTAATTTTTCTATTCAACCAAACTAAACAGCTTTTACAATATTCAAGAACACTTCCTCACATTGTGTTATAAAAATGACTGGTGCCAGCACACCCAAGTCAGCACCTTATTAGGCAGACTATTAAAAAAAACTGTTCTAGAACATTAAATCCTTCATTTCTCCTGTTGTATAAAATTCCATCTAGAAGTGAGTTAGCCAGTCAGTCTCTAGATACACCTGTAAGGAAAAAAGGCTCCCAAGAAATTGCTGCTGGTACTTTTCCACTTAAATCCTCCACTATTCTCAGATGGCAACTTTGAGTGCCTTATGGTCAGTGGCAACATCTTTGTCTGGCTTTAACTCACATATGAATGAGCTGCAGGCATTAATAAGGCCTCCCTTCAGTGTGTTCCATGGAGTCAAAGTTGTTCAGTATCTTCATACAAATTTTATACCTATCTGAAACTGTCTCTTGGAATTCTTCCTGAAATCTCTTCCTCATCCAAATTAAATTCCACATCAGAAGGACTTTGAAGGTGCATTTGCACAGAATAAAAATATTTAGGGAAGCGATCTAGACTTTTTGTAGCATTTGAGGTCAATGTACCTTTATGCCTTAGTGAGGACAAAAAACATCATCTGCAAATAATGACTAAATGTAATGCCTAGTAGGGATGTAAATGACTGGTCGACTACCAGTAAGCATAGGCTTCTTGGATAGTCGAGTCATTACTCAGCTAAACGCTTCCTCTCCCCCCTTGCTGCCTCTTAAAAGCTGATTCCCTCCGACACCGTCTCCACTCAAGGCAGGACTAAGTATTATCTAGACCACCCGAACAGGTGTTTGTCTAACCTACTCTTAAAAACCCCTAATGATGGGGATTGTACAGTCTCCCTAGGCAAGTTTTTCCTAATGTCCAACCTAAACTGCCTTTGCAGCAATTTAAGCTTGGTGCTGGCTTTGGGGCTGGAGTGTAAATACTCAGGGCACTGAATACCACTCAGGGTAGTAAGCCTCCTGAGACAACACACATCGGTTCCACGAACAGGGTCTTGTTCTCTGGCTCTCTGAGAGACAACTTAGCCATGATGCTTCTGGTGCCAAGTGTGAGGTCAAACTAAGCCAAACAAGAAAACAAAACTTTAATTAGAAGTGTAATAAATTAAAACCCTTAATTAACTAAACTACAAGGAAAAAAATACATGACAGAAACTTGGGAGAACCCCAGTACAGCTCTCTGGGAATGGAGCCAAGATTTTTACACCTGCAGCAACTTTTCTGTAGAAAGGAAGAAGTTGTAGCAGTTGGAACTGCACAGTGCTTACATTGTCTTGTTTCCAAACGTTCAGTGCCAAGAAGGGGGGCTCTCTATTGCTTTCTGGGTGTTCCTGAGTCTTGGCGTTTTGGAACGTATAATCCCAATTCTCAACAAAATTTGATTATACCCATTTTATAGAGAAGTAAAATGTGAAGATGTGAGGCTCTGATTAATAAGGCCTCTATCTTTTTTTTTTAAAAAGAAGCTTGATACCAATTGCTGCTGCTTGTGTCTATCTAGATTCACTTACCTAGTCTGGTAAATTGATTTGTCCATGAATTAGTGGCAATAATGAGTAATATTCAGGAGTTCCTCATTCCCACCTCTTCCCCCCTTCCTCTTTTAGACTGTGCTAAATCAAACATTTCCTGTTTGGGTATTTCTCAAAATAGCTTTCCCATCATTCTTTGTGTAAGTGTCAAAGTCTGTATTCAGAGTCTCCCCTATTGTGGATGTATTGGTTAGTGCTTCTTTAGCAGTAACTCTCAGGTGCTCCAGATTATGAACCAAAATAAACTACAGATTTCCACTTGTAGTCAACATACTCTGCTCAAACCAAAGGCAGTGGAGCTGCACAAAATGTGTCTGCAGTGGCAGGGTGGGAAGGTGAATGTATGCTGGATGAGCCTGAGGCCAGAAATGGGGTCTTCACCTTCTCTCCCCTCCACTTTCCTGTACCTGCTGCTCCAGCTGCCATCATCTCCTTTTTATGGCTGCACCTTCCCTGCTCCGATTCAGCATGAGGCATGGGGACAGAAGAGATAAAGCTGTCACACTGTCCCTTGTAGTTATCAGCAACAGTTACAGGCTACTGCTGCTGCCTAGTTGACTGTGTGAGATCTAGCTGGGCTGCAGGAATTTGTGGTAAGGTTGCTAAATGTTTGATTGTTGTCAGTCATAGGGTCTAGAGAACTTGAAGAGCAGGGTAGCAGCTTAAGGGGAAAATAATGGCTAGCTGCAGCTATGCCATCTTTATCAGTTCCCAGACAAACTACATTAAAATGGAGTTAAAGGTAAGAGTAATTTAGAATAAAATATGTTCGAGATAGTGTAATTGTTACAAACAATGCAGGAAATTTAGAGTTAAGGTTAAATGTAAATCAAAATATACTAAAGTACAGAAATGCACGGGTTGGTTATTGAAACCATGCTGCCCTGTAGAGAAGTTATGAAACACCCTATATATTTATGATTAAGGTATTTTAGTGTTTGTTGTCCAGAATAAACTCAGTTTTTGAAAATAAAAATTTAGAATTCGTGGTAATTTTTACATTATTCTTCATTATTGCAAGTTTTTATTTCCACATGTCCACTATCTCCTTTTATCAGGGAGTGAAGCCATAGGCTTCCCTCTGTTTAGATGTTCACTTTCAAAAGAGCTGCCTCCTAATGTTCCCAGTGGCAATTCAGATGAACTGGGGAAGACAGTGGCCCTGTATGCTGTCAGTAGGTAGAGAGGAATACAGTAAGTGAAGGTTAATGGAGGAAGTGGCCATCTGAGCCCAAGGGCAGCCTCTGGCTTCAGTTCCAGCAATAGGAGATGGCAACCATTTGAAAGACTACATTTCTTGGTTGGAATTCTCTGAAGTAGAATGTTATTCTTTAGTCTCTGCTAAAGAAAAAACTTTCAGTTAGGTAGAATAATGACAAAGTATGACCATTAATCCTACAAAATATTCTTCAGATGTAGTCTGTTCACAAGACTTCAGTGAGTTAATTATGTGGGAAGTTTGAAGAGTCTATTTTTTTCATCACTGAGATCTTTTGAGCCAAATCATGTCTGACATTTGCTGCTGAATTTTTAAAGGACACATTTTAAAATTAATTTTAATTCAATTTAAGATAATGGATTTACAATTTCTTAGAAAATTCATTCTGTAACTCAAAGAATAAGTGCTGTAGTTTTGGGAGAATATGCTGTATTTTTATACATAAAGTGGTTGGATTCCCGCTTTAAGTTCAAAACTCAGCTCATTCTTGGCTATGGATATTTAACCAGTGCCTCCATAATACTAAAGTGGAGTAAATCCATTTAAAATCAGAGTAATCTGTTCAGTGATTTTTTTGGATCTCAAGGAGCTCAGGTGTTATAAATCACAGCTACCACGGTGGGAGTACAATGTAGAAACCTAGATGTGTTTTAAAGTCTTACATTAGAATGTCACAAATCTATGATATCCTGGATCAGGAGTCTGTAAACTTCATTGTACCACAACCCCCTTCTGACAAAAAAATTACTACTTGATCACAGGAAGGGGGAACTGAAGGTTGAGTCTGCCCAAGCTCTGCCACCCTGGGCAAGAGGGGACCAAAGTTGTAGCCCAGTAGATTCAGTCCCAGGCAGGTGGCTTGTAACTTGAGCCCTGCCATCCACACTCTTTGGACAGAGAGGCTTTGGCTTTGGCCCTGGGTTCCAGAAACTCTAAACTTTCCCTGTGATCTGGGTCCCAACCCACACTTTGAGAATCACTGTCCTAAATTTTGAATTTGTGCCTTCAATTTGTCTGAAAAATGAGGAAAATAAGTTGCCATGTAGCCTTATACTAGATGCCTAGAGGATGTGATTTAAGAGAAGACATTAATTCTTCCAAAGTTACAACAGATTTAAGAAGCATAAATTAACAAACTTCTCCTTAATGTCAACTGTTGACCATGATGATTAATTGACTAATTATCTGTCATCACAACACAGACACATGTTTCAAAGTATAGTTATTGGATATTGTTAGCTCACTGAATGCTTAATTTGTCACATGTTTTGATGCTACTGAAGTACGTTGCTTATGTCAGGACATAACTTTCCACAGTTTTCTATAGAAAATAAGATAAAACGGAGGCTCTACGTAGCAGGTTTTTAACTTGTACCTAAACATGACACTCAACTGTTAATTGGATGAATAAATCCTGTGCATTTTACAGACATGAAAATCTCAATAGATTAGCTCTATTTATTAGAGGAAAATGGTTTTCTGACACCTGATAAATGCCAAGATGAAGCTGCTTATTGGAAATAAATCAAAATATTCTGTTGCTATTTGTCAAAAACAAATATTGAGACAAAATACTGACATGCTTGTTTTTGAAGTGGTTGACACTAATCTTCTGTAATAATTCTATTTTAACACTACGGGTAATATCTAGCTCATAACAGTAAATAATGTACGAATATGGGGGGGGGGGAATCTGTAGAACACTAAAAAGCATGAACTTTTTGGCTATAGATAGAATTTTGTTTCTCAGTCATGATTTATTTTTATTTGTAAAATATTTGATGATAAAAATATTTTGCATTTTTATCATTTGTCCAAGGAGTTCAACTGTATAAAACATAAGATAGTGTTGCAGCTCCCTTATAGTGTGTTAGCAAAATTAGTTTGTAAATGGAGCAGCAGAGACTTTAGGGCTACTTTTAAATGCATACACTGTTTGAGCTGTGCTACTTGGGAATTACTGACACAGAATTTGACCAGTTTTATTTTTTTGATTTGATTGTCAAATTATTTGTTTTGATGATCAAATTATCAATATTTTTCAGGTTTTACATGAAGCAATCTACATATTTAATACAGGATCATAGAGTATCGCATGTGTCTTTTTTTAGGGCTACTTTTAAATGCATACACTGTTTGAGCTGTGCTACTTGGGAATTACTGACACAGAATTTGACCAGTTTTATTTTTTTGATTTGATTGTCAAATTATTTGTTTTGATGATCAAATTATCAATATTTTTCAGGTTTTACATGAAGCAATCTACATATTTAATACAGGATCATAGAGTATCGCATGTGTCTTTTTACAGATGGAAGACCTTTAACTCTGAACGAAATTTGGGAAGGTGTTCATGAATGCTACCAGGCTCGTCTACTGGAGGGGCCTTGGGACACCATTACACAACAGGTTAGATATTACTATTCTTTTATACTATGGAATTTATTTACCAAGCGAATAGTTGACATTAGAGTCACCTATTAAAATATAAGAGGTTTTGTGTCTATTGTGCAGTGATTCACTAATTACGTTATCAAGAAGACCAAAGTGTAACGTTCAATTTAAAATAAACTAATAATTTGTAAAATTGAAGGACAAAGTTAGTTTGTCAGTCAAATTATTTGTTACGGCTGACTAATGAGTTTAAAAGTCAGTATTAATGATGTCCATGTTTTAAAAGAAAAAGTACTCAATAAAATACTTGTGACTTGTTTTATTATCCTCTACTAAAGGTGATCAAACTGCCTATCTTTAAAATGATTTTAAAAGTCATGAGAATTAGTATTAGTATTCCAGTGCAATTATGGTATATTCTCAAGAATCCAGTAGTTGTTTTCTAGAAAATGGTCTAGATTTGGTATGACAAGGATGAAACTTGTGGTAAGGACTCGGGAGGTCTGGATTCAGTTACGGGTTTTGCAACCAGCCTCCTGTATGACATTGGACATGCTATTAAGTGTCTATATTATTGGAGAACCTCCATGTCTCAGTTCCCCACTGTAGACTTAGGATAATACTGTTTGCTTCCTCCTCTCCACCTCGACCCCAGACTTTTGTCTCTCTTGTCTATTAACGTGTAAGCTCTTCAGGGCAAGGACTCTCTCTTACTCTATGTTTGTACAGTGCCTAGCTCAGTGAGGGGGGCCTCTAGATGCTATCATAATACACCATACAGAATCATATTCATAAAAGATGCTCAGTCATGGCAATTTGAGTTTGCACAATCACAAACTATAATTATTCTTTGTAGTACAGCAGAGCCTAGAAACCCCAACTGAAATTGCATGTATGCTTTTTGTTGTGCACTTCTAGGCATTGCCTGTGAGTTCTCATAATACAACTATTGTTATTAGGTAGCTGTAGTCAATGTATTACTTAGGGTACGTCTAGACTACAGGCTTTTGTCGACAGAAGTTTTGTCAACAGTATCTGTCGACAAAACTTCTGTCGACAAAGAGCGTCTAGACACATTCAGTTCTGTCGACAAAGCAAGCTGCTTTGTCGACCAAACCCTGTAGTCTAGACACAACCCTACATGCAATAACACCTTCTGTCGACAGAACTCTGTCGACAAAAGGTGTTATGCCTCGTAAAATGAGGTTTACCAGCGTCGACAAAACTGCTGAGTTCTGTCGACATTATGTCGACAGAACTCAGCAGTAGTGTAGACGCAGGTATAGTTTTGTCGACAAAAGTCCACTTTTGTCGACAAAACTCTGTAGTCTAGACACACCCTTAGACTGACCTGTGTCTTGTAGACTGAGGATGAGCAAATCACTATATAATAAGAAAATAATGAAATCTGGTAGTAGCAGATAAATTGACCTTCTCCAGTGGATATCATGGTTCAAATTGTATATTCTCCTAATTTAAGTCTAGATATTGACTAGCTCTGCATTGGGCGAGAACAGTGCAATTCACCTTCACTTCACTCATGCATATTTGAGTGAACTAGGATCAGCCTAAGTCCTTGCATTCCCAGTGCACAAGGACCTGAGATTCTAATGCTAGCAACAGTGCTAGCAACCCCTTAGGACTAGGAGTGGAACATACCCTACTACACCCTCTGTACTTTCCAACAGAGCTGCCCTGGCATGTAGAATCAGTGCATGTTAAAACCTGTAAAACAGTGTAGCAGAAGCCTCTGCTGTGTGCACTCCATAAGCAATGTGCCTTCTTAGTTGCTGCACCTCTACATCTTTCCTATCCATGGGATGTAGCTTAAAGCCACAAATCAAACTATTTTGTGAAAAGTACTGTGCATGTCACATCTATGGCTATATAGGAGGAGTAAATCAAAATACAAATGTTTCTGAGAATAAAGGAAGTTTCAGTGACAGAACATCTGCCTACTATGTAAAATTAGAATAATGGAAGCCAAAAGAAAAAGATGAAATAAAACTGCCCATAGATACATAATGCAAAATGGGAGTGCATGAGACACACACATACACAGAAGCTTGTGGTAACAGGCATTTGGCTGGTAAAACGTGCTTTTCACTGAAACTATTGTGTGTGTGGCACCTCTCTAGTAATAATACACCACATCTTGGTCCAATATCAAGAATGAATTTAAATAGCAGGGAAACCCGTTTTGCAAAACAGAGACAGTTATAGCAGCAAAATATTCACTGAATATAATACTAAGCTGATTTCCTATGAAATGGAGAAATTACAGAATTAGTTTAACTCTCTCTCAGGAATAATATAGACTATGGGCCTCAGGCTGAAGACTCAAGGCAATTCAGACATCAGTTTGATACAGGGATTGCTGACAATTAGGGGCTAAGCCCCACCAATAATTCCACTAATAATGTGGATACACATTTTAATAGTTTTATACTTTAATTAATTTTCTGTGAAATATGTTCTCCCTAAGGCTGATTTTGCCACTTGATAAAAACTGGAATTCCATTGAATTCAGCATGGTTGCACCACTTCAAAGCTATTATGAATTTGGTGCAAAGTCTCCAATTGCAACCTTGTTGGGAAATGGGGTGAGGATCCTGCTGAGTCCCTCCTTTCTGTGTATAGCTATGAGTGAGAGCCCCAGAAATAGCAGATTCCTATGTGCAGTAATGTTAAATTTAGATTAATCCAGAGAGAAAATGAGTGCTGGGGACTCATTAATACATGATCCAACTTCCTTTGGTCTGATTGAAAAACAACAATGAAGCATCAGGGAATTAGGGTGTGTCTGTGTAGGAGGGGGTCCTTTTTAGAGCTGAGTGAGGTGAAAGGGAAGAAACTAGTGCAGTTTGTGGTGTTGCCAAAATTGTCATATATTTTTGGTGCCAGCTACCACTTATGTACAAACGTATTTTCCCCATTTAAAACTGGGAGATAGGTATGCCAAACCAAATATAGAAACTACCATAAATAAGTCTATACACTAAGGGATTATAGAAAGTAATAAACAGGGCTCGCCGAACCGTGGCGAGCCTTGCTCGCCAGCCGTGCTGTCCCACGATCTGCACATGCGCAGATCGCCCAAGCCCGGCTCTTCAGGGTTGCAATCCGCTCGCCATGGGTGAGTAGATTGCACTATTTGTTGAGCCCTGGTAATAAATATACTAAGCCAATTGCTTACCAGTCTTAGAACAAACCAGGAGCTAGGGCTACAAGAAAGTGTTTTTTGGATCTGAGGGTTGAACACACATGTACCTGCCTATATATGGGAACTGAGGCACTTGATCATATGAGGTAGCTTTAACCAGTTTGGGACATAGGTCAGTTGGTAGAAGTCACTTGCTATCTCACCAAATCAGGGCGATTAGAGAGGCCATAAAAATAAAAAGCTCAATAATAATGGGGGATTTCAGATGTTCCCATATTGACTGGGTACATGTCACCTCAGGACAGGATGCAGAGAGAAACGTTCTTGACACCTTTAATGACTGCTTGTTGGACCAACTGGTTCTGGAATTCACAAGAGGAGAGGCAGTTCTTGATTTAGTCCTAAGTAGAGTGGAGGATCTGGTTTAAGAAGTGACTTTAGCTGGACCATTTGGAAATAATGACTATAATATAATTAAATTTAACATCCCTATGGTGGGAAAAACACCACAGCAGCCTATGGCATTTAATGCTGTGGCATTTAATTTCAGAAAGGAGAACTACGCAAAAATGAGGAGGTTCGTTAAACATATATTAAAAAGGTACAGTGCCAAAAGTAAAATCCCTGCAAGTGGCATGGAAACTTTTCAAAGACACTATAACAGAGGCTCAACTTAAATGTATAACCCAAATTAAAAAACAGGGTAAGAGAACCAAAAAAAGTGCCACTGTGGCTTAGCAACCAAGTAAAAGAAGCAATGAGAGATAAAAAGGCATTGTTTAAAAAGTGGAAGTAAATTCTAGTGAGGAAAATAGAAAGAAGCATAAATTCTGTCAAATGAAGTGTAAAAATATAATTAGGAAGGCCAAAAAGGAATCTGAAGAACAGCTAACCAAAACCTCAAAAGTAATAGCAATTTTTTTAAAGTACATTGGAAGCAAGAAGCTTGTTAAATAACCAGTAGGGCCATGGGATGATCTAGGTGCTAAAGGAGCACTCAAGGATGATAACGTAATTGTGGAGATACTAAATGAATTCTTTGCTTCAGTCTTCACCGCTGAGGATTTTAGGAAGATTCCAGACCCTGAGCCGTTCTTGTTAAGTGACAGATGGGAGGAATTCTCCCAGGCTGAGATATCCCTAGAGTAGGCTGTGGAAAAAATTGATAAACTTAACAATAGCAAGTCACCAGGACTAGATGGCATTCACCCAAATGTTCTGAAAGAACTCAGATATGAAATTGTGGAACTGTTAACTGTGATTTGGAACCTATCCTTTAAATTGGCTTCCATATCGAATGACTGAAAGATAGCTAAAGTGACACCAATATTTAAAAAAGGATCTAGAGGTAATCCTGGAAATTACAGACTGGTAAGCCTAACATCAGAACTGGGCAAATTTTGAAAGTATAGTAAAGAATAAAATTGTCACACACATTGATGAACATAAATTTGTTGGGAGAAAAGTCAACCTGGTTTTTGTAAAGGGAAATCATGCCTTACTAATCTACTAGAATTCTTTGAGGAGGTTAACAAGCATTTGGACATGGGGGATCCAATAGATATAGTGTATTTAGATTTCCAGAAAGCCTGTAACAAGATTCCTCACCAAAGGCTCTTAAGTAAAGGAAGTTGTCATGTGATAAGAGGGAAGGTCCTCTCATGGATTGATAACTGTCTAAAAAGTAGGAAACAAAGGGTAGGAAGAACTGGTAAGTTTTCAGAAGGGAGAGAGGTAACTAGTGGTGTCCCACAGGAGTCTGTACTGGGACCAATCCTATTCAACATATTCATAAATGATGTGGTGAGAGGGGTAAACAGTGAGGTGGCAAAATTTGCTGTTGATACTATAT